AGTATGAGAGCTAAAATTTGCTTACTTGCTTGCTTCCTCCTTTGCTTCTGGGATTGGTGCCTTTATATAGGCATTGTTTGGCGTGGGCTTCACGCACCATATCCGAGATTTCTGCGAGGTCGCCTAAGTGGTTCGAGATTCCTAACCGCCATGCACGTTGACCACCCTCCGGATCGTTCGACACGTGGGCCAACTTCCAAGGATCGTGGGAGTGTTTAGATATGCATGTCGAATTCGTCAGCGAGCACGTCTCGCAGGTCACCAGGTCGGTGCCTGGGCCAGGTCGCCAGGTCGGCATCAGGGCCAGGCAGCCAGGTCGTGCCAGGGCCAGGCCGCCAGCTCGTGCCTGTGCCAGGTCGCGCCTGTGCCAAGCCGCCAGGTGGGACACCATCAACTTGGCTAAGGCAAGTTGTTGTCAAAGTGATTCCGGGTGTCACCTAGTTGTTCTGAGGTGCCATGTGTCACAATATCACTGGAGGGCCAAATTCGCCCTCATCATTTGCTCCCCCACTCCCGAGCTGAAAGTAACTTGGCGAAGGGAGTAGATTTCTCCTTTTGGCCCGGAATGAATAATTCGATGAGCTCGTAAGTGTTGATTCAATTCCTTAGGCTCTGGGAGCGACTCGCAGTCCGCTCCTTGATTTTGCTCATCCCGAAGAGGCGACTGGGTCTTATATGGTGAGGAGGTCTTCGCTAATTCGGTATTTTGGCCCTTAGGCTCTGGGAGCGACTCGTAGTCCACTCTCCTTGATCTTGCCCATGCCGAAGAGGCGACTGGGTCTTATGTGGTATTTTAGCCCTTAGGCTCTAGGAGCGACTCGTAGTCCACTCTCCTTGATCTTTGATTTTGCCCATGCCGAAGAGGCGACTAGGACTTGTATGCCCATGCCGAGGAGGCGACTGGGACTTATCGTAGTGCCAAGGTCTTTTATCAGTTCACCAGTTCACGCCTGGGCCAGGCCGCCAGGTCAGTGCCTGGGCTAGGCCGCCAGGACGCACCTGGGCCAGGCCGCCAGCTCGCGCCTGTGCCAGGTCGGCTCCTTAGAGTTACGGCTGCACTGCATCAGCCTCGTTAGTGACGTCGGTTACCCACTCCTACAAGAAGCTACTAGGAGCTCGACCTATAGGGGCAGCACTACTAATTTTAGGTCACCAACTCGCACGGGAGCCTTGGAAGGCTCGACCGGCAGGGGTGTCCATGCAGTCTGTTGGCCGCCTACTCCCGCGGAAGCCACGAAGAGCTCATCTTTGTAGAGGGTACCTCGCGAAGAGGACTGATGAGGCTTTATCCGAGTTGAAATAAAGTTGGTAGAGCTGCTTAGTCTGTTAGCCATCAACTTCCTGCATAGTCTTTGAGTTCATAAAAAATGGAATCTAGAAAGTGAGAGATTTTTGTTTCTAAAAGGTGAGAACGTAGCTTTCTGGAAGAAGAGGACTTAGCCTTTCGGAGGATGAGAACTTAGCTTTTTGTAGCGTTTCCCACAGATGGCACCAATTGATGAATCAATTTTTGGTCATGTATCAATCTTTTGGCTAAGTACCTCGTCATTTGGTCTGCTTCCAAGTGGTCGATGACTCAGAGGGTGAAGTGGAGCTGCCTAGGTGCGGAGCTACCTGTGAGGTGTTGAGCTGACCGGGTGGCGACCTGCCGGTGGGGGGCGGGCCGGCCCGGTGCCAAGCTGCCTGTGAGGTGCCGGGCTAACCAGGTGCAGGGCTGCCTGTGAGGCGCCGGGCTGACCAGGTGCAGGGCTGCCTGTGAGGCACCGGACTGACCAGGTGCAGGGCTGCCTGTGAGGCGCCGGACTAACCAGGTGCAGGGCTGCCTGTGAGGTGCCGGGTTGACCAGGTGCAGGGCTGCCTGTGAGGTGCCGAGCTGGATTGATGAGCTTCGTTGCTCTTTAGAGACCTGCAAGGAACTAAATGTCAGAGGACCCGTGGTGGCTAACTCAGTGAGGTCGCTCCGATGCTTAAGTCAGTACTCTTATAGTAGATTGCGAGCTAAAAATCACAAAGTATGAGAGCTAGAATTTACTTACTTGCTTGCTTCCTCCTTTGCTTCTGGGGTTGGTGCTTTTATATAGGCATTGTTTGGCGTGGGTTTCACGCACCATATCCGAGATTTCTGTGATGTTGCCTAAGTGGTTCAAGATTCCTTGAGGTAACTGTCATGCACATTGATCACCCTCTGGATTGTTTGACACATGGGCCAACTTCCAAGGATCGTGGAGTGTTTAGATATGCATGTCGAATTCATCGGCGAGCATGTCTCGCAAGTTGCCAAGTCGGTGCCTAGGCCAGGTCGCCAGGTCGACGTCAGGGCCAGGCAGCCAGGTTGCACCAGGGCCAGGCTGCCAGGCCGCGCCAGTGCTAGACTACCAGTTCGTGCCTGGGCCAGGTCGCCAAGTCGGCAACAAGGCCAGGCCGCCAAGTGGGACACCATCAACTTGGCTAAGGCAAGTTGTTGCCAAAGTGGTTTCGGGTGTCACCTAGTTGTTCTGAGGTGCCATGTGTCACAATATCATTAGAGGGCCAAATCTGCCCTCATCAATAATAATAATAATAATAATAATAAAATATATAAGAATAATAATATTTAAAACTAATATAATTTAATATAATAATAAAATCAAAACCATAATATAGTTTAAATGATATTAAACTATATAATAGGAATGGCACCAAACTACATTAACTTTATTTGCATAGATTAATAATGTTTATGATTATTTTCATAAAATATGCAATTGACCTTTTCTTTTGATTCTTTTAAATGGAAGTATAAGTTTTTATTGTTTGAACCAGTATTTTCAATCCGTCGTTAATTTGGCCAGTTGAACCGTTTGAACCATCACTCAATTAGGATTCCAGGTTTGATTTTATTAAAACCAATTAGCCAATCAAAAACCATTGACTATGTCAAAAACCGTACATCCCGATTGGTTCAACCGCCAACCTGTTCAACCCAGTCACCAAGTCGTGGGTTGTCAGGTTGCACATAATCAATGCATGCAAACTTTTTGAAGGTCTCAATTGGGGTGATCTTTTTTTTTTTTAAGTTTGAGTAACATTTCATGATCTATACGCCCCAAGGCACCATAGACACATTGCCCCACTATTTTTGCGGAAGAAAAAAAAAAAACCTTTTTAGCCTCAAATCATAATTTTTAATATTTGTTATAAATAAAAAATAAAATTGAATTTAAAACACAAATTAAATATAAAATAATACATATATCATATCTAAAACACAATTATATATTATTTAAATATTTATTGATAAAATATGTATTTGTACACACACATGCATGTACGCTCTAACTTTTTCAACCCGAACGGTCGAAACGGTAACCCGCAACCTGGAGGCAAAAACGATTCAACTTCTGGATTGATTTTTAAAACACTAGTTTCAACTCTTAACAAAATAACTGTGCATCACACGGGTCCCACTAATCTTTAGTAAATGGCAAATTGAAAACTTTGTAAATTATTAACTCTTCTTTTAACCATCTAAAAAACATAATCACGGCACTACTAATGGGCCCCTTGAGTCCTATGTATTTTATCACTGGTGTAGGGTATTATCATTGGTACCAACCTGCTAACCTGTTCAGTAAGGGGAGATTTAAACTTTGGATCATTAGCCTCTTCATTTTTCCTCTCTCTCTCCTTCCTTTGCAATAGATCATTTTAGGGTTACTCTTTGCGAACGCCACTTTCTCATCTGTAATCTCAAGAAACGATAAAATAAAACCACTTTCTCATATGTAATCTCAAGAAACAACAAATAAAAATCAGAGGATAAAACCTATATTGTCATTGATGTTCGTGGAAATGACCAAACCCATGGTGCCATGGTAGATGAAAGTGAAGAAAATGGATCGGCAGTTGAGGAGATCGAAGGACAATGCAAAGAGAAAATGCTCCCAGTAATTGAATACTTTAAACTTTCTATGCTTTGTAAGAATGTGAAAGAAAAAGGCAAAAGGAGCTCTCTTCAGTTTTATCAATTTAACTCATCATTTGCTTCTAACTGGTCCCCTCCGCTAATTCAAACTTCTCTATTTGAGATTCCGAGAGAACAAATGCATTGATGTTTTTTTCTATCCTATGATTTGCAAATGGTAATCAAATCGATCAAAGAACATTTTTTTTTCTAAATCATCTGTTTCTTATTCGATGCTTGATAAACGAAAAAAATCAGGGGGCAAAGATGAACACAAAGGTTTGGGCTGCGTCCTGTCATTGTTTGCGTTGGGAATGCTGAGATACATGAGCGCCACTCCAATTACGATGAAGTATGCATTATGCAATTAGTGAGAACCCCTTCACCTTGCTCTATAAATCTGATTGCAAAATTTATTATTTTTATAATTTTTAATATTTTTATATAATTTCTATTATTATTATTTTTCTTTTTTATGATTTCTATTTAACATATTGGGTGGAGGGTTGAATTGGGTAAATTCATGGGTTAGACAGTTATCCCAAACCCAATCCACCCAATTGTCACCACGTAAATTCATTCACCCACGACCAATGCAGTTTCCTTCCCCTATAGAGGCATCCTTTTAGTTTTAACACCAGCCCCTGCATTAGGTCTCTATCGCCACGTATCGGCCCATATCGTTCCGGGACCCCACTGATACGCCCCTATAATAGGTGTATCGGGGGTTTGACAGATTCAGGGGATGGAAGAGACCTAAACTGACCCCGTGAACCGGTTTCAGAAAAAAATAAAAATAATAAAACAAATAGCATCGATTCGCGCCATACGCCCATACGTTGGTAAGTAGCTAAACAGAGGTTACTACTGGTACACCGGAAGCTCAAGATGATATAACCAAGTAATCCTCAAAATATCCCCTTAAACCTTAATCTACGTATGGTCGAAAATAAACTCAAGAGGTCTTAAATAACCTAATATTTTCTTTAAAAAAATTGAAAAAAATAGAAAATAAAGTACGAGCCAAATCCTAATTGAATCAATTCAAATTGTAACATTGGTGTAAATCATATGATTAATGAATCAAAATTCAAAATTCAAAATTCAAAAATAAGATATAAAACAAAATCCTTGGGATTCATCATTCGAATCCCTAATAAATTATATTGTAAATACCAAGATTTTGATAACTATACGATAGACTCAAACCACATATTGCTTACTATAGCAAATATGAGATTTACAAAAAAAAAAAGAAAATAAATCTGAACCAGAGCTTCATCCCCATCAATAAAATGTCTCTTCTCTCAACTTCTGTTACAACAGCAGCAACTCCTTGATCAAGTATCAAGAATTGTAAACCGCTGTTCTGGCCACTTGGGGTATACACGCTTGTATAAACTCATACATACAGTATCATGCTGTTGAACAACACCATTAAAGATACACTTCATTGCCCCTGAAAAAAATGTGAAACAAGAACAATTCACTACTTCCTCTAAATTATCAAAAGATAAAAATGGTCCACAGACCTGAATGAGAAGATTAATCAAGAGCCCTACTCTCTAGTGCTATAATAGGATATAATTTCCAGAAAAGAAATCATTCTTGACCCCCTCAAACAGGGATTATTCACCAATTGGTTTTCTATGGTCATGTACTAATTGAAATTAAGTGACCCTTGATCTGGAACATCAAATCAGTGATGGGCCTCTTGGATGGACCAGGCCTTCTCTGTCATTGGGTTGATGCTCCTATTCATTATAGTCCACATAGGAAACTGTACAGACCACATAAGAGATATTCAACCAGATGATTAGGATCATTTGGCAAATGAAACTCTTAGGATATACCAACCGGTGAATATATAACAGTGATCAGTATGCAATTATAACAGAAAACAATCCTTGGCTGTGCACCGCATCATTCCATATTCCCTCAAATAAGAACTATCAAAATAAGATGACCACCATACCATGTGTACCAACAGGCTCCTTTATGCGACCCCGGCGACCACATTTTGTCCATACTTCCACAGGCTGCATAATCACCAGACACATTACAAATAGTTGCAAAAAGATGCAAGTGTTGAACATGAACTCTGATGATAAACACTTTTACCTTAAACCATCTCACATCTTCAGGATTATGAAACATGTACCGCACTGTGGCTTTTAATTTTGACACCCTTTGAGGATAACTGCATGAGAGAACAGAAAGTTTGGTGAATATGAAGATTGAAGATAATGCACTTTAGAAAGCATAATATTATGGTCCCCAGAAACCACATAAGCAGGAGGAAATAGGAAGCATATTATATAGACAACATTAAGTAACTCCCAATATCTCTATTTGATCATGAAATTTCTATGGTTTACTTGGACAAGGCATGATTTATAAACAATGAGGAATTTATTTGACACGGATTTGCAATGGAATTTAAAGAGACCCATGCATAAAGATATAAAACTGACTGTCCACTTCACAACCCACCAAATTAGAGCCATAGACCTAAACAAACATTCCAAACAAGAATTTAACTTGAATGAATATTTTAAAGAAATAAACTAAATCTATATTGGACTTTGTTGCAGGACTAAGACACAGCATGCTCTTACTTAAACAAATAGACCCAGAAACTTGTTAAGAAAAGAACAGGTAGGACCTAAAGAGAAATAACCACTATGCAATCAGTCAGTTTTGAGAAAACATTGGGAAGATGAAGGAATGTCGGATTAAAGCCCTGGCACTCTACTGAAAACGTCCTACAACTGCTACACAATTAATTATTTGTATGTCTCACTGTACCCCACTACAACTTCAGCTAAACAAACATTCCAAACAAGAATTTAACTTGAATGAATATTTTAAAGAAATAAACTAAATCTATTTTGGACTTTGTTGCAGGACTAAGACACGGCATGCTCTTGAATAAACAAATAGACCCAGAAACTTGTTAAGAAAAAAACAGGTAGGACCTAAAGAGAAATAACCACTATGCAATCAGTCAGTTTTGAGAAAGCATTGGGAAGATGAAGGAATGTCGGATTAAAGCCCTGGAACTCTACTGAAAACGTCCTACAACTGCTACACAATTAATTATTTGTATGTGTCTCACTGTACCCCACTACAACTTCAGCTAAGCCTTCTTAAGTATAGAAACAATAAAACTTTTAAGGCAGCAGGACCTGCAGATAGTTTCCCATCACTATGATGGAACGAACTTGTATTATAAAAGGACTTGACATAGAGCAATATAATTTTCTTGTCACCAGATTCAAATGCCATGCATCTGGCTGTAGATCATGAACAATGAAAAAAAGGAAATCAACAAGGTGTCATAAATATACATAACTACAATGAAGTTCCCCCCAAATAAATGAGTAAATCTGAAGACAAGCCTACAAGGGCATACTAAGAAGACATAAATTAGAAACATTAAATGCAAATCCACCTTACAAGTGCCGAAGTTTACACTAGAAGAACTGGTCATTCATATCAGGCAGAAGCTATCTTCTGCCTGCAAGTAACAAGTTTAAGGTTCACCATTCCCTCATCCAGCCTAGGACATTTTGGGGGTCATAAATTTGGATCATCCTATCAATTTGGCATCATCTACTTCCCATAAAAGATGCCCTTTGACCATTATAATGTAGGAACCAGCATCTGAATGCAGCCAAAGGGCATACTAAGAAAGTCCCCCTTGCATCCTATCTAATCCAGAACCAAGTTTTTTTTTTATAAATTAATCCAGAACAAAGTTATATCTGGACCATTAAAGGATGCCAACACAAATTTTAGGCATTACAAATGCCAAACAATGCCTTGCTGATAAAAAAAATGCAAAATTATGCCTTTGTGGATAATGATAAACAAGATAAAAAGAGAGAAGAATAAAAACTACCCAGTTAAGATGATTTTCTTTAGAATTATCCTGTCTGGGTCAATACTTCTTAATGAACCAAGGGCAACAACAGCAGCAGGAGCACCCTCCCCTTGCCCACTCTTCAAGACTATTAGAGGAAGGGGTGGAAAAGATATTGGAGCATAAACTGAAGCAATGGCAAAGCGTCCTGCATGTAGAAACCTCTCCATCTTGTGCTTATCTGAGTTTATATTATCAGAAGAAAATATTGGTCTGCAAAACAATTATCACATTACCAAGAGCCAATATCAAAAGAAACTGGAGATCACTTCCAATACCTACATCATGGGACATTACCTTGCAACAAATTGGCGGAATCCAACATGAAAGATCAACAATTCTTTGGATTTGATAGGATCATTATATGCATCATGTTTCTTTATGCTGCAAAAACATAAAGAAAATATTCAAAATGCTTCTTTATCACTAACAGGTATAAAGGAAATTATTGACCTGAAAAGGGGAACACGATTACAACCTCTTTCGCCCTTGAAACTTATCCAACAAAAAAACAAACAAACAAAAGTTCTCCCTTCACCCACAGAGCAGAACTATAACCTGAACCCATAATCTCTTTACCAATAAAATACTACCATATAGCCCAACCCCAAAACAGATCCTCCAATACAAATATTCTTCCATACATTTTTTTTGCACATATTTGCTTCTTGATCTTTACCATCCAACATTCTGCTCTATACAATATAGCTAGTTTTATTCCTCCACGTATTTCATCTTACGAGCCATTTGACAACAGATGAAGTGGTTAAATGAAAAACTTGATGGATGACACTGAAGTTGGTTAGTAGAATACTCTTGAATATGTTATCAGTTAATTATTTTATCCACTAAAGGGTGAAACAATAAACCATTCAGTTCAGCAACTGAAGTCATTATGAAACATCCCCTTAGTCCTACTTATCTTAAAACCTTTTAAATCGAGAACATCTGACTAGAGTTTCAACTTTGCATTTAACCCCTGTTCAAGTCTCATCATCAGTTCATTGTCATCAGCAAAGAATATACTCCGTAGAACCTCCTCCTATAAATGCCTAGTCAGTTTATTAACTGTTCAATCAGATCCAAATCTGAACCATCAATGTGTGTAAAAGATAAAATCATCAAATAGATTAAAGAATTATTTCCATATTTACACCTTATTCAATTATATAACAGTTTTAAATATTCTATAATAATGCTATCTCAAGGCAGCTCATGACTACTTCTGTCACCAAGTCACCAAACAATGCCTGATTTGGATCTGATTACAATGGATTCAATGATCTGAAAATGGAATGGTTGATAACTTAGCAAAGCAAGGGGTTTTTGGAAATCAACTGTATTGGGCTTGTTATAAGTTGTATATCTATGCAGGAATACAGTAGTAATTGCTACCCCACCCAAGAATTGTTTGTATTGCACTGTAATATTTCTGATATATCTTAATAAATACTCGGTTATTTTTTATCAAAAAAAGGATTACTAGGTTTCCTGAGCAAGCACATTCAACAAAACTAAATTGAGCAGAAATCAAGCAACTTAGCATCTTCAGCTAAAACCCTGAAAGAAATTTTGACAACTTCATTCAAAAAAAACCCTAAGCCGATCAATTTCTTCAGAGAAGTAAACAAAAATGGAATTTAACACTACAGAAATTCATTGGTAGAAATGTAGGAATCATTGAGCCAACGACCAAAAAAAGAAAAAGAAAAACAGAATAATTCCTCGTGTATTCCATATAAATCATGGTTTCTTCATGTGCTAAGACAAATCCTCAAAGGTAAATTTATAACTGATAACATGGTGAAAAAAAAAGATTTCACTGAAGTAATAACTTTTGCAGAATGGTCTCATGTATACCATCAACATTTGAGAAACTGAAATTAAGAAAGGAGAATGACTAAAGAAGAAATACCTGAAGTGAAGGACAGACATCTTTGACTCATGCTGGAGGAGCCCACATGCTAGAACAGGGAATGTCCGTGACAAGACAGAAAGTTTGGATGCAACATCAAGTGGAACTTCCTTGACATGAATCCTCACGTAAGAGCCTGTTGATATACATTCATCCTCACCTCCTTGCTCCATATTTAGAGCTTTTACAAGAACATGCTTTTGTGTTCTTGCAAAATTATCAAATGCAAAAATTCTAGCATATTCGGGTGGTAGAGATTCCTGTCATTTATAAACAAGAAATGCAGTAAATTAAAAACTAACATATACTACCAAAAACAGTCATAATCATTAGAGGGTAATGATTTGGGCAAAGATCCAGGGGTGCTTCTTGGAAAAGAAACACTTCCAGAATATAGCTAGGACCATGCTCGTTTATAAGAGTTTGCCCAAATGACCACCCTTATCATAATGTTACCTACTTTGGGATCCCATGAAGAGGTCCTAAATGACTTAAGGCCTCTATACTTGGCAAAACGTCTTCGAGCAGGAACATCTAATGGAGTATCAACTTCATCCGGGAATTCTGAAACCATAACAAACATTTTTAAGTAACATATTCAAAATTGTCGCAGTTCAGAAGTTGTATACGCTGCCTAACTTTTCAAAACATCACAAGAGTTGCAAGTTCTTTTAGGTTTCTATTAACTATATGAGTCAAAAGGCTTAAACAACAGCAAAACATCCGCATGTATAGAGAAAAACAAAAGTGAAAACACTGCATGCATAAAAAGCTGAAAAATGGTCATCATGAGCAAGAAAAGTGTTTTAAATGCTTCACCAAATGATTCTAGGGCCCGATGAATGGAATTTCATTTGCAGTGTTTTAAATGACAGGTGCAAGAAAAGTGCAAGGGCCTTCTGGTGCTCAAAAGCCCAAATGAAACAAGGGGAAATTGTTGAAAATAAATGACATTAAAACATAAAAATATGGAAACTTGAATTTTAAAAATAAATGTTTTAAAAATCTTATTCACTCAAATCAAAACACATGCAAAAAATATAAAACACATTCAAAGCGAATTAAATGCAGCATGGATCATAGCAAAGTGCCACACTCTCATGTTTGTCTGTCTCCTTGTTGCATTACTTCAACTAGCTAGTAGCTAGTGTGATGCTAGACATCTTGCATTTCTAATGCTAGAGATCAAAGATCAAGTGTATTGTTGTCGCTTTCTGTGGAAATATTGCTATATGAGATCCTATCCTCACAAATCTAGGGTTTAATGTATTCAATAGGTCTTTTTTTAAAGGTAAAGTAAAGTATTGAAAAGGTCTTTGTTTTCTGTTTTTCTAAAAGTTAATAGACCGTTGCACAAGCACCAATAAAAGGTAATTTAGAAGTTAATGAATCATTACAAAGGAGTAAAATACACGAGAATGTAAGAAAAGTAATAAAAAATCAAACTTATAAAAGGCATGAGCAAAGCTGACTAACTGAGGCACAGGGCACACCAGGTGCACACCTTTTGAAAGGGTCAGCACTAAGTTTGAAGAAAAGCACATGCCTTAAGATGCACCTCACTGTGAGCCTAGGCATGCCTTTTAACACTACCCAGAGTTATAACATAAGAGACATTGTCTTGGGACTAGTGTATGCAAGATATGTGCATATACTACACATTCTGAAAACATCGAAACACAAGTTTAATGTAAAGATGGATCTAGAGAAGCACTTAAATCAAAGTTTCCAGCCTATAGTACCCCAGTACAGCAGTACTATGGTTTGGTTCTCTAGTTACTTAATCTAAACAGAAAATATTAGAAATGGAGAAGAATAAGCTTTGATTTCTTCCAAAATTTGCTCAAGATGCCTGCACAACCCGCTGAGTCAACTCATCTCCATCACCCCACTGTTGGTTCGGCTGTTTTTAGTGTTTATGTTAGTCATATTTGTGTCTTAAGTTCTTAGTTATTGGGCCTAAACTTGTTTAATGTTTTAATTGTTCTATTTGTCTAGGTGTCCCATCACTAATCAGGGGCATTCTAGTCCATTCATGTAATATTATTTTATAATCATCTACATAAGATTGTAGGGCCGGCTGAAGAGAGTAAGCCGCCTTTCTCAAATCTTCTTCTTCTTCTTTGGCTGTTGTATTCCAGCAAACACCCACAACTGGACCAGAAGCTACTACAAGCGAGAGACCCATTTCAGGAAAGTTTCGAAGTTCAGAAGAAAGGAAGATGCCAGAGAGAGTTTTTTTGGAGAAGCCTAATTTATTTCCCAAAAAGAGCACTTATAGGCCCCTTAAAAAGAGAAGCCAGAAAAGCAAGGTGGGCCAAGCCCCTTATGGCAACTCAGCTCGAATTTCAAATTGTATTCAAAAAGTGGGCCGCCCTTCTAACAGGCCCCACAAGCTGAAGGACTTAAAATCTTCACAAGATCTAGGCCGAAACCGTCCAAAGCCCACTCGATGGATCTGAAAGTAGACCCTCACAGCCCAAGCCCACCTGAGACTCCAAATTTCCTAACTGAACCAATTCCAGAAACACCTCCCAGCTAAGGAAGACAGCAGGAAAATCTACAGGCCTCCCTCTTCACCAGAAAATTCAAGTTCTTCCTCTCCCTTCGAGACAGATGGAACTGACACAGATGAAGAATCGAGCTCTTATGCGACAGAGACCCAACCAGACCCCAAAGAGGTGGCTCTCTTGAGGGCCAAGGATCTGTTCACTAGGAAGGAAGCTTGGGGAAGCGTAGAAATTCTCGAGAACATTCATCTTGTAAACCCTGAGTACGGGATCGACTGTGAGCCTGCAAGCTTAGAAAGAGATTGAGGACGAGAACCACACACCTACCCCAGAGTTTACCCTTCCCTTTCCTCTTCTTTGCCTAAATTATTTTCTGCTTCGTCCTCCACTCTCGAATCTCACCAAAACCCAGATATAGTCATTCTCCAAGAAACAATAAAAGAAGTGGACAGGAAGCTTCTGAGTGCAATTTGGGGGATTCGTGGAAAGAAATGGTCTGTTCTTCCTGTTGTAGGCACTTCAGGGGGAATTATCATTGCTTGGAATGAAGAGGAGGTCTCGGGCACTGAAATTGACAAAGGAGAGTTCTCAATCTCAGTTCTTTTCACCAATAACAATGATGGCTTTAACTGGATTTTGACTGGAGTATATGGACCAAACGCTCCCGCAGATAGGCAAAGACTCTGGGAAGAGTTGGATGCTCTACATGAATTTGAGGATATCCCTTGGGTAGTAGGAGGAGACTTTAATGTCACAAGATTATCTCAAGAAAACTCCAACAGAAGAAAGTAACTAGAAGCATGAGGGATTTCTCCAGTTTTATCTCAAGACATAACCTTTGTGATCTCCCCCTCCACAATGGCCAGTTCACTTGGTCAAATCTGCAAGAAAACCCAACAAGCTGCAGACTAGAGAGGTTTCTGGTACCTTCAGATTGGATGGAAAAATTCCCAAATCTCCTCCAAGAAATCAGACCTCGCTGCATCTCATATCATTGGCCTCTAGTCCTCAGAACAGATACGATCAAGAAAGGTACAACCCCCCTTTAGACTGGAGAAAATGTGGACGTTACATAAAGACTTTCACAAAAAGATAGATTCCTGGTGGGAGGAGGCATAGATTGCTGCAAAAGTTGAAATTCCTGAAAAGAAAACTGAAAGCTTGGAGGAAAAAAGAATTTAAATCATTTGCAGAGGAAAAAAGTGCCATCCTTTTGGAGTTGGAAGATCTGGATAACAGGGAACAATCAGGAGTCCTGGACAAAGATGGAAGGAGAGATGATTTAAGAAATCTTTGGGAAAAGGTAATCAGAAAAGAAGAAATCTTCTGGAGGCAAAGACCAAGAGTCAAATGGTTAAAGGAAGGTGACAATAACACAAAATTCTTCCACAGCTACGTGATGGGAAGGCATAGAATGAACCTTATCTCAAAAATCAAGGTGGACCAGAGGGAAGTGGAAGATGTTGAAGAAATCACAGAAGCATTTCTTAATAACTTCAAAAATCTCTACTCCAAGGGAAGTGGTAGGAAGTTATATTTAAGAGATTGGGAAGGACCAACTCTAGCAGAAGATAAGAGAGAATGGCTCGAAAGGGATTTTGAGGAGTAAGAAATAAGAGAAGCAGTTTTCGAGATGGATGGAGATAGAGCCCCCGGGCCCGATGGCTTCCCCATCTTCTTTTTTCAGATATGCTGGGAAATCGTAAGAGTGGATCTTTTGGAGGTCTTTAAGGAATTCCACTCACGACAGTTATAAACAAAGGAAATAACTCGACATTTATCTACCTAATCCCAAAGAAAAATGGTGTCATGGAAGTGAAAGACTTCAGACCAATAAGTCTAGTAGGGAGTGTGTACAAAATCCTGGCAAAGGTCCTAGAAAAAAGATTTAGAGAGGTCCTAAAAGAGCTGGTCTCTCCAAATCAGTTTGCATTCGTGAAAAGAAGACAAATTGTAGACAGCATCCTAATTGAAAATGAAGTTGTTGAAGATAGAAGAAAGAGTGGAAGGAAGGGCCTTCTTGTGAAGCTAGATCTAGAAAAAGCTTACGACAAAGTAGATTGGGACTGCCTCCTCCAAATTCTGAAATTGAGGGGTTTTGGAACAAAGTGGCTGTAGTGGATGAAAGGCTGTATAAGTTCAACCCAGTTCCCGATCTTGATCAATGGAGAGCCCAAAGGTTACTTTAAAGCAAGTAGGGGTCTTCGACAGGGCTGTCCTCTCTCCCCTTTCCTTTTCACTTTGGTAATGGATATCTTTAGCCAGCTCATGGAAAAAGCCAAAAGCCTAAACTTAATAAAGGGGTTTGAGGTAGGAAGAGATGCCATAAATATCTTCCACCTCTTATTTGCAGATGATGTCATTCTGTTCCTAGAAGCAGATTTGGAGAACATCAGAAGTATGAAAAGAGTGCTTCAATGCTTTGAATTAGTCTCCGGGTTGAAGGTTAATTACTCAAAGAGCAGCCTAGCAACTATAAACCAAATTGAAGATTCTCTTCTGGGAAGTTTCAAGGAAACACTGAATTGCCGAGTGGAAAACTTCCCCCTTTCTTATTTGGGATTGCCCCTTGGTGGGAATCCAAAAAGTCCAAACTTTTGGGAGCCAGTGGTGGAAAAATGTGAAAAGAAATTAGCTACTTGGAAACGTTGCTATCTCTCAAAAGGAGGCAGACTTACCCTTATAAAGGCTTCTCTTGCAAGCATGCCTGTCTATTTCCTTTTAATATTTCAAATCCCAACCAAAATCAGATCACAGATCGAGAAGCTCCAAAGAGACTTCCTATGGGAAGGTGGAAATGATAGAAAAAGGCATTTAGTAAATTGGAGTCGGATTTGCAAGCCAAAAGAGGCTGGAGGGTTGGGAATCGAACACCTAAAAGAGAAGAACAATGCCCTAATCGGAAAATGGCTGTGGAGATTCCTCATTGAATTGAACTCCCTATGGATAGTTATCATCACCAACAAGTATGGGTTAAATGCCAACGGTTGGGACTGCAATCTCCGCTCAAACCGGCTAGTCTCCTCAGCCCCTTGGAAAGGTATCACCTCCATTCATAACCTCTTCTTTTCTTTCACAAGATTTAGGGTGGGTAATGGAAATAGAATAAAATTCTTGACTGATCTATGGTGGAGTGATTCCACCTTGGCAGACTCCTATCCTAGGATTTACAGCCTAAACCTAAACAAAGATGCAACCATTTCTCAATGCCTCCCCTATTCCTCCAATGAAAGCAACATTAACTTGAGCCTCAGAAGACCCTTAAGGGAACTGGAGATAAGTGAATTAGCTGACCTCCTCTCCCTCAAAGAAGTTTACATTTCCCCAAACTCCCAAGATTCTCAAATCTGGAAACCACACCCAGGAGGTGAGTTCTCGTCTAACACGTTTTTCGAAGCTCAGGTAGCAGAAAACCAAGACTGTGGCTTCCCCTTCAAGAAAATCTGGTGCAAGCTTGTCCCCTCAAAAGTGAGTTTCTTCGTATGGGAGGCGTGTCTGAATCGAGTTAACATTTGCGAGTTACTTCAGAAGAAGAACCTGGGAAGGCTTCATATCTCCCCCCATGTTTGTATCCTCTGTCTTTGTGAGGGTGAGACAGCTGATCACCTCTTCATACACTGCCAGGTAAGCAGAAACATCTGGAACTACTTCCTTCAGCTAGCTGGGTATAGTTGGGTGGCTCCCAATCACCTTCAAAATTGGATTTCTCAATGGCATAGAAGAGGCCTGAGCAAGAGAGGGAAGGCTTACTGGCTGATAGTGCTTCAAGCAGTACTCTGGGGAATCTGGGAGGAAAGGAACAATCGTCTGTTTGAAAATAAGGCAAAATCTAAAGGTGAGTTGCTCAATCACATTGTTTATCACTGTAATCAGTGGGCTTCCAGCTCAAAAGAGTTCAAAGGAGTCAATACCAACGACCTCAACAGGAATGTGGTCCACTTTCTGCACTCATCCCCATACACTCCTCACACCCCTAGAATCCCCTCAACAAGAAAGGCAAGAACTTGGATCTAAATTTTGATGGAAGTTCCCTGGGTAACCCTGGAGTTGCCGGTATAGGGGGAATCCTAAGAGATGAAAATGGACTCGTTTGCTGGGTTTACAGTGGACCGATTGGATTAGTTAACTCTACAAAGGCCAAAATATTAGCAGCTCTTACAGGGATTCGCCTAGTCAGCAAACTGGGTATTCAGAACTTCTCCATCGAAGGCGACTCAGCAACCACCATAAAATGGTTAGGACAACAGGAAGCTGGACCGTGGAGACTTAATCACTTCATATCAGAGGCAAGAGATTTACTGGCTCTTATGAATGCTTCTCTGAACTGGATTCCAAGGGAGTTAAATGCTACTGCAGATGGTTTAGCAAAACTAGGTGCCAATCTGGAGTCCTTGTATTGTGACAAATTTCCTCCTGTATAACTCTCAGGGGTCTGTCCCCTGTTATGTATCTGTACACCTCCTTGTGTACCTCTCTCTTTTTAATGAAATCAGTTAATTTTTCTCAAAAAAAAAAAATTTGCTCAAGCTGATTGAAAATTCTGTATCTAAGAAACTGTGAGGAAAAGCACTTAAAGAAAGAAAAGAAAAAATAAAAAGGGACTGCTTAGTATGTGAAAAGAAAGATACCCTCATCTTCAGCATGTGCATCCTTGATCTTCCGGATCTCATTCTCTATCTGCTCCTTTGTCAAGTTTTCACCGTCCTGAAAGAAGCAATGTACATCTTAGTTCAGCCATCTGAGTTTCCAATGCTATAAGAAAAAACATTCCAATTTTAAGAACATGACAAATTGAAAGATATAAACATTGAAGTAAATCAATTATACCATCTAAACTGTTACATGGACCCTACAAGGCATGCTGAATCAAGGTGTCCAACCAGGAATAAGGAATTTATATTAAAAATTGAAGTGTATAACAAGGACATTGCATCCAATTTGAAGTGTCCATGCAGTGTAGCATCTTGGGTAGCAAGTAGCAACAATATCATTCATCATGCATAGCAAAAATAATTAACTTCTCAATACAATAAATGCCAATACCAAGACTAAATAGTTCCTTCTGTATTTCATCTTAATGTACATGGGGCATGCATGTATATGCACAAATCCTTTCAATAAAATGGCATATACTCACAGTCATTGCTGTATCAGCTTCAGTTTCTTCATCAGAATCTCTGAGATTAAGTGAGAGGGAAGCTTGGTCTTCATCAAGATCCCAATGACTAGATCCTTCCTGAGCAGAAAAACCAGTGCCTCTTTCATTCAATACCATACCATCATCCCCATCATCATTGCTATCTGAATAATCATCATCTGTATCCTCCAAAATCCAAGCAGCCTGTGAAATTAAAAGAGAAAAGAATTTACCAACATGATCAGGTTTGCATTCTATATATAAACAAATCAGTGATGACTGACAGACATAAAAAATGATGCAGATGAACAGAATATAGAACCTGGTACTCTGAGGTTCCTCGGGGAAGCATCTTCTTTTTCGACTTTTTCCGCTTGTGAATCATATCAGCTTCAGCCATTTCTGCTTCTGTTGGCCATGTCTGAAGCAAAACACCACATATAATTTCTTGATCAACAAGTACATGGAAAAAAAAAGAAAAACATATGACAATAACACAGACTGAAATGTCAAAAGGGACCCGCAGCAAGCTATTGTAGTAGCAGCATTCAGGTAGTATCGTAAGAAGTTAATAGTTCACATGCTATAAACAAAATACAAAGCAAGCTTTCACTGTCCACAAGAGCTTACTTGTTCTCCTGCAAGAGGGTCCGGAATGTTCTCAACAAGCAAAGGTTCTTGTTTCATAGGATCAGGAACTAAAGAGTGAACAACCTGGCAACATTTAGATATACATATCCATATAAAATTCAGTACTCAAACAGGGAATAAATAAGGACAAAAAAGCAAAACATAGACTAATCAAAAAGAACAGAAACATGGAGGGCAAATACATGGAAAAGTTCATCAATGACATATAAAAGAAATTAACAAAATAATCAAGTAACAAAAGGACATAAGCCCACTAGTTTTTATGATAACCGACTTATCACATTCAGCATATTCATTTGAAACTTGTTGTTAATAAAAAAAAAAAAAGAAGCTAACAAAATAAAAGAAATTGACCTAACAAACCATTTTATAACAACTGATTTTGTACTTAAAAAATTATATTATGGCTGAAGATGAACACCCCTCCTCAAAGAGTATGTCAAGCTTCTGAGAAGTCAGTCGTAGGAAATGTAAACAAAGGCAGGAAACAAACTGGAGAAATTTGACTCAAGAATGAAAAATGAAATTTGGGGCGAGGAGAGTAGAGAATGGGTGGAGCGAACACAGTGGGGCGGTCAGGTGGTTTGGTCATCTTGTGGGATCCAGGAGCCTTCAGGAAGTCAGGGGAGGAGGTTGGTCTGTTGGTGTATACTCGGTGTCATACAGAACCGCATTCCCTTTGTAGTGCAATGGACAATATGGAAAGAAAGGAACAGAAGGTTGTTTGAAGACAAGTCAAAGAGCATTGAAGTGATAGTCACTTCCGGTTGGAAAGATTGTAACAGACTGGGCCTTGATCCTTCCATAATTTGAGCAAGTTAACATATCAGATTTGGTGGGAAAATTTTGGGATGCCCTTGAAATTCAAGCTTGTAATGTGGTCTTTTTCATTTTGATTAGCTAATCCAGGTGTTATCTTGACACCCATTCTGATTGTAATATTTTTTCATTTTAATTAAAATTTTCTTTACTCTTCAAAAAAATGCAAACACAGCCAAGGAATTATACTATCATATTTAAGATAATAACACTCAACATAGGCATGTCAAGCCCATGTAGACAGTCACAACTGCCTCTCAAACCCCTTCATGGGTTTGTTTTGTTTGGATTTACCTCAAAGGGCCTTCAAGATATAAGTGTAAAGCCCACAACCTCCTAGGATTAGGAACGCAAGGTGTTTAAACAGCATACTAGCTAATTTGAAGCAATGCAACAAGGAGATTGACAAACATGTTTTTTGTTTCACATGCTTGAATTATTGAGTACTTGAAGCACTTTGGTATAATTCACAAATTTGCATCTTCATCACTTCATCTGAGCAGGTGCCTAACCTGCACCTTGTGCCTAGAATGCTAGAAGGCCCTTCGTGCTTTTTTCATGCCTCTCATTTATGACACTGGGATCAAACATTGAACTTTTCCAACCATTTTATGCCCACAACTTGAAATCATGTTGCCATCCATCAAAAGAAAATAAATCACGTTTGTCATCCCACCCACTACCTAGCCAGTAGCCATCCTTGGTCAAGAGAAAAAACAACTACTACCACTGCATATGGCCTTGAAAAAGCATAGTACCACACTAGTAGCACATCTACAAAACAAATAGCAATTCAGCTAAGCAGTTATGTGGATCTTTTTTCCAGAAATGAGAGTGATACTAAAATTTGAGCTTGCCTCAAGGCAAAGCTCAAATCAAAGCCCTCAAAGCATAAAAAACAAACTCCCTGAGAGTCCTACAGCATAGACAGT